CATTGGGGCTGATTTTCAGCCCCCATTGGGGGCCTCCCTGGCCAGCCCCAAAGGGAGGCCCCCAGGGGTTGATTCAGCCCCAATGGGGGCTGACAATCAGCCCCCATGGGGGCTGATGGGGGCTGATTTTCAGCCCCCATCAGAGCTGACTTTTAGCCCCAATGGGGGCTGAAAATCAACCCCCATTGGGGCTGATTTTCAGCCCCCATTGGGGCTCATTTTCAGCCCCAAAGGGAGGCCCCCAGGGGTTGATTCAGCCCCAATGGGGAGGCCCCCAGGGGTTGATTCAGCCCCAATGGGGGCTGACAATCAGCACCCATGGGGCTGATGGGGGCTGATTTTCAGCCCCCACCAGAGCTGACTTTTAGCCCCAATGGGGCTGAAAATCAGCCCCCATTGGGGGCCTCCCTGGCCAGCCCCAAAGGGAGGCCCCCAATGGGGGCTGATTGTCAGCCCCCATTGGGGCTGGATCAACCCCTGGGGGCCTCCCTTTAGGGCTGGCCAGGGAGGCCCCCCATGGGGGCTGATTGTCAGCCCTGATAGGGGCTGAAAATCAGCCTCCATCCGCCCCAATGGGGGCTGAAAGTCAGCCCCAATGTCAGCCCCCATTGGGGCTGGATCAACCCCTGGGGGCCTCCCTTTAGGGCTGGCCAGGGAGGCCCCCCATGGGGGCTGATTGTCAGCCCTGATAGGGGCTGAAAATCAGCCTCCATCCGCCCCAATGGGGGCTGAAAGTCAGCCCCAATGTCAGCCCCCATTGGGGCTGGATCAACCCCTGGGGGCCTCCCTTTAGGGCTGGCCAGGGAGGCCCCCCATGGGGGCTGATTGTCAGCCCTGATAGGGGCTGAAAATCAGCCTCCATCCGCCCCAATGGGGGCTGAAAGTCAGCCCCAATGTCAGCCCCCATTGGGGCTGGATCAACCCCTGGGGGCCTCCCTTTAGGGCTGGCCAGGGAGGCCCCCCATGGGGGCTGATTGTCAGCCCTGATAGGGGCTGAAAATCAGCCTCCATCCGCCCCAATGGGGGCTGAAAGTCAGCCCCAATGTCAGCCCCCATTGGGGCTGGATCAACCCCTGGGGGCCTCCCTTTAGGGCTGGCCAGGGAGGCCCCCCATGGGGGCTGATTGTCAGCCCTGATAGGGGCTGAAAATCAGCCTCCATCCGCCCCAATGGGGGCTGAAAGTCAGCCCCAATGTCAGCCCCCATTGGGGCTGGATCAACCCCTGGGGGCCTCCCTTTAGGGCTGGCCAGGGAGGCCCCCCATGGGGGCTGATTGTCAGCCCTGATAGGGGCTGAAAATCAGCCTCCATCCGCCCCAATGGGGGCTGAAAGTCAGCCCCAATGTCAGCCCCCATTGGGGCTGGATCAACCCCTGGGGGCCTCCCTTTAGGGCTGGCCAGGGAGGCCCCCCATGGGGGCTGATTGTCAGCCCTGATAGGGGCTGAAAATCAGCCTCCATCCGCCCCAATGGGGGCTGAAAGTCAGCCCCAATGTCAGCCCCCATTGGGGCTGGATCAACCCCTGGGGGCCTCCCTTTAGGGCTGGCCAGGGAGGCCCCCCATGGGGGCTGATTGTCAGCCCTGATAGGGGCTGAAAATCAGCCTCCATCCGCCCCAATGGGGGCTGAAAGTCAGCCCCAATGTCAGCCCCCATTGGGGCTGGATCAACCCCTGGGGGCCTCCCTTTAGGGCTGGCCAGGGAGGCCCCCCATGGGGGCTGATTGTCAGCCCTGATAGGGGCTGAAAATCAGCCTCCATCCGCCCCAATGGGGGCTGAAAGTCAGCCCCAATGTCAGCCCCCATTGGGGCTGGATCAACCCCTGGGGGCCTCCCTTTAGGGCTGGCCAGGGAGGCCCCCCATGGGGGCTGATTGTCAGCCCTGATAGGGGCTGAAAATCAGCCTCCATCCGCCCCAATGGGGGCTGAAAGTCAGCCCCAATGTCAGCCCCCATTGGGGCTGGATCAACCCCTGGGGGCCTCCCTTTAGGGCTGGCCAGGGAGGCCCCCCATGGGGGCTGATTGTCAGCCCTGATAGGGGCTGAAAATCAGCCTCCATCCGCCCCAATGGGGGCTGAAAGTCAGCCCCAATGTCAGCCCCCATTGGGGCTGGATCAACCCCTGGGGGCCTCCCTTTAGGGCTGGCCAGGGAGGCCCCCCATGGGGGCTGATTGTCAGCCCTGATAGGGGCTGAAAATCAGCCTCCATCCGCCCCAATGGGGGCTGAAAGTCAGCCCCAATGTCAGCCCCCACTGGGGGCCTCCGAGGCCAGCCCCAAAGGGAGGCCCCTAGGGGCTGATTCAGCCCCAACGGGGGGGCCTCCCAGGGGCTGATACAGCCCCAATGGGAGGCCCTTAGCGGCTGTATCAGCCCCAAGCGGGGGCCTCCAGGGGAAAAAGAAAAAAAAAACAGAAAAAAAACCTTATCAGATCAAGCATAATGTAGAAAACAAACACCAAATCAATCGGAAAACAGCAACCGATTTGGTTGAATAAGCAAATCAAACGGCGAGACAACCAGAAAATAAAAATAAAAAAAATAAAAAAACAAATTGCTCGACCAAATCGATCGGAAAAATCAAACACGTTCAAATATTTTTGGCTTGGGGCATACCTCGGTGAGAAAACGGAGAACGGCGCAGATTGGGCAACAAGAGACCGGAGGAGCTCAGGCGAACGGAGGTGCTCCGGTGAGAAGCAAACGACGCGACTCTTGGGCGAGAAGAACGCCGGGGCTCGGCCGGGAAGAAGATCTCGGCTGAAGAACAGAAGGGAAGGAGGAAGAAGAGCTCGGCTGAAGGGGAAGAAAAAATCGGAAGAAGCAGAAACGGGAGGATGATCGAGGAAGAAAGAAGAAGAAGAAACCGAAAATGAAAACAAGAAAACGAAAACGGCTTTTTTCCGTTTTCAAAATTCCGGAAAACGACAAAGCCATTTTCGTTTTTGTTTTCTGACACAAATTTTGCCAAACACGTTTTTTATCTCCGTTTTCAATTTTTTGCATCGAAAAATGTGAGAAACAAAAATGAAAATGCTACCAAACAGGCCCAATATGTTCGGTTAGCCTGTTAAATCATTAGGATTTCTACGTTTACATTGGATTTTTGTGTTTTTTCAGGAGGTAAAAGTAGGGGATGAGCTTCAGGATTCGGGTGAAAATGTCTTTGTGGGTGGGAAAAACCGCTGGAAGTAAGTTCACTATTTCTCCCATTGATTTCAGGATTTGACAGAAAAGTGAAAATCACCATTTGATTGACTACAGATATTCCACATTTGTGAATTGGGAGCTTTGGTGGCCAAACTTCCCTATTCTGGTGTATTTCAAAGAGAGACAAACTAAGCCTGAAGGGCAAATTCACTTCTTTCCAATAATATTCGTAAGTACCAAAGTCGGATCGACGATTTTACGTTCATATGTTTTGAGACGCAGTATTTTACTTATTTCTGGTGTTGTTAATCACCTGCAGAATGGGAAGCAACTTTATGATGTCATGGTGGAGAGAGCTGGCCCTTCTCAAAATAGTGGACCAGAATAGCTTGACCATCAATGTTATTGCAGTGTTTTTGGGTTTTGGCATGGTAGGATTTAGTTATGAATTTTAGCAGTTGCGTATGCTTTTCTAACCAATTTGCAAAGAAAATTTTTAAGTCCCATGCATAATTAATCTCTCTTGCAGGTGCCAAGAGGTGTGCGCTTACTAGTTGAATTGAAGTTACTTTTCTAAATATTACACATTGTTGTAGTAAATATCCTCATATACTTCTCAATACTACTGACGTTATTATTTGTAAAACTAGACATCTGTACATGATTACTAGTATTAATTATTCAATTCCTGGACTTCATCTTTCAGGAGTTTTTTCTGTCTTTTGCATCTTGGTTTTTGCGTTCTCTCCTTTTCTTGTTATTTGAATCTAGAACACAACCCTTTTCTTGTACAAAACTCTTCAGCGTTTGTGAAGACACTAAACAAGGTACAAATAAACAAATATCAAAGCCATTTTGCCAATTTGATTTGGTAAACTATTTTGAACCAGTAAAATAAGTAGCTGAGTGACACTCAGAATTTGGATGAAACTTTCATAACGCATAGCTGGACCAATCCAGATTTCAAAGAATATTACAATTAGAAGCTTCCAAGTACATCTTACAATACAAAGACAAAACTAGTTAGCAAGCTATCCAACATAGCTTTGTGAGCAAAACAAGAAGCCTTTTCAAAACATATGTTTCTCCGAGCATCTGAGATGCTTGCCTTCGAATGCTATGCCTCCATATCTGTGATCGTCTTAAAGCAGCATCAGTGTTATCTTTGAGACTTTGACAAACTTCTCCATGCACTCATGGAAAAAAGAATATAAACAATATCAATAATCATTTGTGCGACTGTTTCTGCCACACAGAGAGCTTTTTTGAACCCACAATGATCACAGATTAGGTTCTAGTTTCGTGTTGAATTCTTTCGTAAAGAATTTTATGTGAATCCTTCTTGGTGCAATGCGCATCTGTACCATGCTGAGTGCAGTGGTTATATCCCACAGTGTGAAGGAAATCTCGAATCTGTTTTGTACTGCTATTACTAGCCTGCAACAACCGCTCATCTTCCTCATATATAAGATATGGGGCCTCACTTCCCTTTCTTGACAGTAACTTGGATGCTCCTTTAAGAACATGATATTCCCAACCCTGAACATCAATTTTGATTAGGAGCACAGGTTCTGACTCTGGGATTACTTCATCAAGAGGTACGGACCTCACTTGAAGTTCTATTTCTTCATTTGACTTGAACGCCAACTTCGCACCAGTGGCTGAAACCGCACTGTTGTCAAGCCGACCAACCAACTGGTACCATAGCAGGGTATTTAATATTAGCAACAGACAGGTAACATAAATCTGACTTCCCCAAAGATTGTATGTTATGATTGAACCAAGAAAACTACGGGCTCGTTCTTTTGAGCGAAAAACTCAAAAAAATGCAACTCGAGTTACAATTTTATTCGAGTTCATGTTCTTTTAAGTTAAACTCGAGTTTAAACTCGAATTAAAACTTGAGTTTAGGACTAAAACTCGAGTTCAAGTTTCCCCTTCAACTCGAGTTCAGAAATTCGAACTCAAATTAATGAACAATATTTTTTCTATTATTAAAAATGCTATAACTTTTTCGTTTTAATTCTGATTGAGATGATTTTTTTTTCTATGCGTTGACAACGAAAAGACGAATAAAACCCGACCCATATACCCTATTAAAATTTTTCATCAGCATTGAGTTTTTATTAAAATACTATCTAAATACAAATTCAAGTTTTGACTCACTCAAACACAAACTCAAAAAGATTCTTATCTCAAACCATAACTCAAATGTACACAACCAAACACAAACTCAAGTTACTAGTTCAACTCAAGTTATAACTCAAATTCAACTCAAGAATTATACTCAAGTTAAACTCTAAAAGAACAAGCCCTACATAATCCGAGTTTGATAGTCACAACTGAGCTAGACTTGCAAATTCTAATAAGCATGCCCTTGTATCTCTGAAACACATTTCGTATCATGCATCTGATTTTGTGGAAAACCAAAATGCAAAAACATCAACCCCCCCAAGTTTGATAGCGACAGCTGGGTGAGACTCGCAAATTCTATCAATAAACCAACCTTGTATCTCTAAACATATTTCATATCATGCATCTGATTTTGTGGAAAACCAACAAATAACAACAAACAGCAAGCCTTAATTCCAACTTAATTGGGGTCGGCTATATGGATTTCACTTTTCCACGCAGCTCTGATCGAAATTAGACTTTTCCGAAGGCCTAGATCTAGAATGTCTTTCTTAACTATTTCGGTCCACGTAATTCTTGGTCTACCCCTCTCCTAGTATTAGGTATAAGAATGTCCTCCCAAGCACGAACTGGTGCTTATAGCGGTCTACGTTGGACATGCCCATACCACCTCAAGCGGCCTTCGTGCACTTTATCTTCTATTGGTGCTATACCTACTTTACTACGAATAACTTCATTCCTTATGCGATCCATTCTTGTATGGCCACTCATCCATTGTGGAAAACCAAGACTGATAGGCACAACTGAGCTAGAGTTTGCAAATTTTATCAATAAACATGCCCTTGTATCCCTAAACATATTTCATAACATGCATTTGATTTTGTGGAAAACCAGAACGCAAAAGCCTCGAACCCCCAGGCCCCACCCCCTTTTTTTTGAAGTACCACATGGTTCAAACAGAGAACCACAATTTTACACAGGCAATTAAAGCAGCATAACCTTTTCTACTACTCTACCAAACTTTTATTTTTGATACAGTGTAGGGTCCATGGTTTCCACTTTGCTAATAACAAATGAAACCGCCAGTATTTGAACCTAGTGGACACGCACACACTCACATACCCAATCACTTGAGCTAGCCTCAAGTGCACATCACCTCTACCCAACTTTGAAAGAAAATTCACAATGAAAATGTTATCCTTGTGTCCCAAAAGAATATCAGCCATAATCTCATGGAACGTGACCAAATTTTCATACTATACTAAATTCAATAATAGAAGTACAATTTTTGGATTGAATCTACACTTGAGACATCTAATCTTAAACTACCATAGTCAAAATAAAGAAGCACGATCTTAAATGTGAAATTCTAATAATAGACTAAAATCTTCACTTAAGATATTTAATCCCAAACCTGGTAAGATATTAAAATTACCTCATAGCGGGACACAGTATAGATAACACCAAATAAAGAAACATATGAGAGCTTACTAGAACACAATGCAGATGTAGCTATTCATAAATGTCCTCTCCTCCACTAGTAAAGTTATTTTTTTTTTCGTTTTTTTATCCGAGAATTCTCTGAATATAAATCTACACCACAATCTTAAAAATTTGACCTTCTAACACAGCTATTAACATACTTCCCCTGTACCAAAAAGAAAAAGGGCACAAAAAAAATACATAACAAAAGCACAGATAGAAAATAAAATTAGTGAAATGGAAGAAAAACAGTAACCTTGTGGAAGGTAATGTTACCAAGAAGATCGGAAGCAGCAGCTTCAAAGACAGTAACCAAATCCCCAACCCGATTCAAGTAAATCCCATCGCAAATCCTCTGCAGATTCTCAAAGACGGGCTCCAAAACCAGAACCCGAAATCCCATAACCGCGGCGGCGAAGCTCGCCATGCCGACATTGCCTCCAACATCAACCACAAGGCCTCGTGAACCGCTCGAGAATTCCCTGAATCGTCTCCGATATGTCGGGCTTCCGAAAGGGCTTTCCTTTCAGCATCCTCACGATGTTCTTGTGCGGCTTCTCCGGGAGATTTCCCAAGTCGGCGAGCGAGTAGAGGAATGGGTGTTTCAGGCCTTCGACGACGTTGGCGATCACGGGGTGGGATTGAGGGCACTTGAGGCAATCAAAGGGCTGTATTGCGAGGAATGGAAATTCGGATTTGATTGCGATGTTGGAAGAACTAGGGTTAGGGTTAGGGTTTGAGGAGGTGGAGAAGAGGAAGAAAATGAGGAGGAGAGTGGCGGAGATGAGAAGGAAGAGGGATTTGGCGGAGACGAGCTTCGAGCCTCTGTCTCTTTTCCAGGCATTCGCCATGGGGAGATTCAATGATGAATTTTGATCTTTTCTTTGTTATTTTCTCAGGAAAATATGAGGCTGTTTGTTTCCCGAGAAAATTAGAGGAATTTTGGATCTGGTTGCGGTTGGGGTTGGGCCGTGGTGTTAAATCTGAGATTGGACTGAGCACTGAGCAGAGAGTATAAGGGAAGGCGTGAAAAACAGTTTTTTTTTTTTTTTTTTTTTTAAATGGAAAAAACCCTTATTCCTTTATTTATTTATTTTTTTTTTATAATTTGTGAAATGGTCTTCAATCTTTTTTTTAAGAGATGACAGCTTCATCATTAATATTTTTTTTTTAACAAAACGATACCCAACATATTTAAAAGGATAAAATATCATTATTTTTATTAAATTTTATTAAATTTTTAATAAAATATGTCACGTGATCTATCTCTTTTTTCAATAAAATGATGGGATGTTTAGAATAGAAATTCGTATCATGATTTGAATTATAGTTCGTGATTTATTATAGTATTTTTTCTCATAAAAAATACACATAAAATAAAAATAATTCTAAATCACAATTCTAAATTTAAGAACTAAGTTCTCTTAAATATTCCCAAAACAATTATCCCTTTCTCCCAAATTTTGATCAAGTGATCATTTTCTCGGATTGTAAGACTGCCATGAATTCCTGCTGGAATCTGCTTGTCAATTGAAGGCTTTGGAGCAACAGCTGTTTTCTGAGGAGGAGGAGAGGCCTCCACTGGGTTCTGAGCAGGAGCAGCAACTTGGGTTTGGGCTTCGGCTTGGTTTTGGGCTTTGGCTTTATTAACAAGAGTCTCTACACCTCCAAACAGATAGCCCAACGAACTCTGCCCCCCACCAGCGCTCACTCCACGGCCCATTTCTCAACCTGCAAAGGAAATGTCTCTGATCTGATGTCTAAATCTGCAAGATATTTCATTAGATTCAAGAAATGAAAGTAAATAACCCTGCAGCATCGGATCACATAGATTCTTATAGAATATTTTTATATATCAGTAAGATTTGCATATTCTTTTTTTTGAAAGGAAATTATTTTTCATAAGATTCAAAAAGAGTTACAGGCAATAAAATCATACGGCATTAGAAAAGAAAAATACAAAAATTCAAATCAGAATACCCGACTAAAAAAAGTAATATGCTTGCGTTATTAAAAAGAAAGAAAATGCGATAATGAGAAAAATAGATGTAAAATTTGAATCCTAAAGAAAATGAGTGAGATATGATCTGTTTTTGAATAAATACCAACCTCCGTTGATGAGGTGTTTGAGAGGAAAAGAGTATGAAAATAATTTGATTGAGTTGCAGAGAGATAGAGATGGATTTATGCAGAATTTGATAAAAGAGCATAGGAAAAGGACTCCTAGCGAGAGATGAGAGAGAGAGAGAATGAGAGAGCAGAGAGAGAACGAGAGCTTGCCTTGGTATTTTACTAAAATACTCTATTTAACAAGATCACATGCTTTACACATGATTAATTCTGTTAAAAATTTAATGAAATTTGACAAAAATGACGAAATTGTACTTTTTAAAATAAGTTAGGGTCGTTTTGTCCAAAAAAAAAATTAAGGATTAAACTGTCACATTTTAAAAAGATTGATGACCATTTATACAAATTACTTTTTTTAATAGGTAATTGTGTTTCAAAATAAAAAGATACACATGTCACTACTGAACTTGTTACATAAGAATACTTACCTCGATAACAAATCGGTTCTACCGCTATAATTTAATGAAACACAGAGTGGTAAAAAAAACATGCGCATAGTCCCCATAACGAGAAAATGCAAAGACAGACTAATAATTGAACTCTCAACTGGCTCTCTTAATATCACTCGGACAATCAATAAAAAACTCCAATAGGTTGACACCAAGATACCAACAAAACAGATGTTACACAAAACACTGCAAGATTTCCTCCCGACAAACCTCTGAATTGCCACATCTGGTAATAATCGGTCACTATCCAAAACCTCTGAATTGCCACATCAGACTATAATCGGCCGCTATCCAAACTCATCGATGCGGATCTCCCCCGACCGCATCTTCTTATCATGCTAGCAGAGTTTTTGGGCCACAATCCTGTTTGCCTAAGTCTGACCGCCTCCAAAGATGAGTCGGAATCACCTCCAATCATGAACCTAACATTACCTCCATGCTCCCTCTCTCAGGTAGGGGACTTGACAGGCAGCCCTGGGCTAGCGTCGAATTCTGATTCTAAAGGAGAGAAGGGGGCAGCATAGAAGAAGAAAAAAAAAAAAACCAAAACAAAACCTCGAATACGCAATGCAGAGAGAAGAAAAGAATTATTTATAATTGAGCATGTGGTATGTGATCCCACCACATTGTGCTTTCTAAAAAAATTAATTAAAGAATCACATTATTTAATAGGAATTATCTCTAGTCAGGCACTTGAAAAGTACCTGACCAGTCAGCCACTTATATAATTGTGTATAAATTATGTATATTTATACGTAAATTATGTATATTTACATGTAAAGTCGTGTATATTTAACATGAAATACAACAAATCAGTCAATATACATATTTTCATGCTAAGTGTTCACTAATTACTATAAAAAAAAATATGTTTTGAGGATTAATATATATTGTCGTTTCTTATAACTTAACCTACATGATTTATATGTAAATATACACGATTTACATGTAAATATACACGATTGCACAATTATACAAGTGTCATGTAAATATACACAACTTACTGTAAATATACACACTTCATACAAAAATGTACAAGTGCCGTTCTGGTCAGACACTTTCCAAGTGCCTGACCATAGACCTTGCCTATTTAGTATATATTTAATTTTTAATTAATTATTTGTGAGTGATATAATTTAGAATTTCATAAATCTAAATTTACTGTTTTACCCTTAGTGTCTCATGGAATTAACAGGACAACGCATGACTCATGGGCCCATAATATGAAGCTCCAATAAAATTAATAATTAATTAAACTCTTTAATTAATTAATTGATTCTATTAATTCCAAAAGTTATTCCAGTATAAACTTGGAATTACACTCTTGATATTATAGACAATTAATTACATCTGTAAAACGTCCATTTGATATAGTCACTTCATATAGATCGATCCTTCATAAATAATTCATAATTAGAGTTAGGTGAAATCTGTTAACTTCTCTAATTACATATTTATCCTTGAGTACTATTGATCCTCTAATGGATAAAACACATTCATAAATCGGAGCTCCTACTAATCAAAGTACCAAATCAATCCTTAAGAGAATTATTTGTCTGCTTATTTCTCAAGAATGAATGAATTCCATCTCGTATTATTAAGAAATGGATTCCATCTCATAATATTAGCACTCCCGGCTACCTATTTCTCCATATCTCCAAGATACAAGGATAAGATCTAAGTGTGTCGAGATCTTTACCGAGTAACTCAAAAGACACGAATCCATATATAGGAGTCTATTAATAACCAATGATTAAGATCATTCTATATATCATCATCGGTAGACTCAAAAAGAATTTTTATACTTAATGAAAATTATTAGAAATTCACATTGTATCCGTGTCCCAGTCCTATATAATCTCATTATGTAAAATATACTCACTTCGATATCTCGACATATCAATGATCGGATAAGATCGTTCCATTCAGAATGAGAATAACATGTATTAATAATGTGGTCAACCAAAGATTCTGAACTTTAATCGATAACCATTATGAACTTTATATTTCGATTATTATCCTTAAATATTATCATCTAGTATATAACACTTATATATCATATTTAAGGTCACATAAATAGTATTTAATAATATATGCACATAAATAATAAAATTTTACTTTATTAATTAAATAATAAAATCTTTAATTACATCTCATGTTTTCAGGGTACCATTCCCAACACTATATGCTAGTTAATACATATCCATTATTAAAGATGAAAAACTCGAAAAATAAAAAGAGCACTGATTTGAAAAATCTTGATCTCTATTTATAAGTTCATTCAAGGAAAAGAAAATGTAATGACCGGAAAATTTCAAGAGCTAAATCTTGAGCTTAATCTATTGCCTATGTTATGTTATTTGCTTTTAAGGCTAATACTTAAATAATTACAGACTTATATTGATATGTCATTTTACTAGACTTGTGATGTTTTGTAAGCTCAAATGGCATGTTATTTGAGGAGTTTAGTTGCTGGTCATTTTATCTTGAGACTGAGGGTTGAGTTTGGTCGTTTTGATCGAATTCCTCTAACTTAATGTAAGTAGTTGAGAGGCTGTACACAGCTGTGGACATTTGGTGAATGAAATTGGGTTTCAACCCCGCTTGTTTCCCTGTGATTTTCCTCGTGTTTCTCTAAATTGTCCCTTCTTGGTTTGGACGAGATCCCTTTCCAATTTGTCACCAAATCTGTTTCTGCATCTCTAATTCAGCTTCTATGCCATGCAAGAAATGCAGACAGAAGAGGATTGTATTTAACTTATGGTTGGGTGTAAATACTAGGTACTGGGAATAGAACAAAGGTGCATAAATAGCCACAAGAATAGTTAAAAAAAATCTTACTATACTAATCACCACCTCAAATGAAATGGCAGAAAACTAACCTTTGATGTAGCATCTTGGATAAAAGATTCTACCTATAATTTAAAATGCCAAAATGTGAGTCGACAAGAAAAGCGATTTGACATATCAGAGAGAATAAAATTTGGAAAGTGTTGACGGTGTTTTTCTGAAAACTCGTAATTACCTCTCTGAAAATTCTCACAGTAACACTCACGGGTTAATTAGAGATTAAAGCAGTGAAATAATGTAAAGAAGACAAGGATTTATAGTGGTTCGGTAAGGTTTCTTGGCCTAGTCCACTTATGGATGCACTACTCTTTCTGAGATTACAAGTTCTTCCCTCTACAATGGAATAGTGCGTAACCCTTCAATGGGTCTCTTTGGCTCTATTTATAGGCCTTTACATATAATGATCTCATTTGTATTTTCCGAGGGAGCAATCTTCTATCCTGGGATTTAAGGGTGGTGTAGGTGCATTTTCATGATGACAATCTCAGGAAATCAGGCCAACCTCTCTTACCGACTACCTGATTTCTTGGTTGCGACAGTAGCAGTTGGCACAGTGCATCCTTCCCTGAGTTGACAAGATTGTTGATGGATTTGACTGGACATGCTGCCACGAC